CTTATCAACACTTACAGCCACACCTGCCTTCGTCGTGTAAGCAACAGACACCACAAGCGCCACAGGATTTGCTCGTGTTGAGCGAACAATCAGGCGCACGATTTCTTCGGACTCGGGGTCTTTGTCCGGGAGCGAAATCATCTCTCGAGGTTGTAAATTTTTGCTTAATAACACTGGTGTCAGCTCTCCCATTTGAAAAGTGAAGAAAAATGCGTCGATTGGTGAATCTGACACTGGTACAGGGTCGCATGCAACTTGACACTTAACATTCGTCAGAGTATCTTCATTGGCAGACACCTTAAAGGCGATTTCATGATAGTCGCCCGTCAAAAGCGGCTCATTCGACAGCATTATTAGTGTGGCCTTTGCACGAGGCTGTTGAACTATCAGCGATGATCCACGAAGATAAACGGAACCGTTTTCTTGGAATGATTCAATCGTGTCAAAATAGCCAAGATGAGGGCTCTCATCGAGCGAAAACATCGATTTCCGCCTTAAGAAACTCGGAGAAGCAGAGCCATTGCCCATTGCAGGTACACGTCCATTCATGAGATACGGTTGTGGTGTTTTTCGCGGTTCTATCGTCGCACGCTCGACAAGTAGACTCAAGATTAAAAATTCATTTTCTGGCAGTGCTTCATCTTCAAAATCATCATTCCCACTTAATTTTTGGTCTTTACCAAAGTATAACCGTACTTCCTGAATTGATAACAATTGCCGATTATCTAGAATATGTAACGGAATGTGTAATGTTTTCTCCGCTTTGAAAGTAAATTCCAGTGAAGCAAACAGCTTTTCATCGGCAAATGTGGGAAAGTCACTTGACTTCTCAGTCTGATGGTATATAACACTACGGTAACGCTCATCATTAAAAATCAGCTCAATTTTTGTCATCACTATCGGCAGTGGGAGATGCGATGTCAATCTTATTTCAAGCAAAACGTTTTCTTTAACACAAGCGCAGGCACGATCAAACTGCGCTGTTAATGCAAACACTTGACGTGACCGGTCACAAGCTATCACATATCCGTTCTTAAGCGTTGAACTCTCGGTAAATGGTACTCCAAGTGCTAGCGGATTTCGCCAAGCAGTGACAAAGGTCTCTTGAATCCTACTGCGCTCTTTTAAAGACACAAATTCCTCCACAACGGGTGACAACAGTTGCAAGGAATAATCCAGGTAGGCTGCAAGATCTCCTTGGCGAAAGGTGCAAATAAGCAGCTGTTTAAGGATCTGGGCTGTTTGAGCCCAGCAGTTTTCAGCAGCAAAAGTAGTTTTTGCTTTCTGTAATTCAGCCCGAGAGCGATCGTACTCGCCGGAAACAAGACGTTCTGTACCCAAGTGAACAAGTAATCGGCTTTTCATCCGATTACGGGAACCATTGCGATTAGCTACAAACAATTTCAGATGCTGAAGTGCGTGCTCTAAGAGACTTATTGACCGCTTTGCATGCGACACTGTTCTCTCCACGGCATGTCGGTACTTCACAAGCGCTGATTTTGAAGAGTCCTTGGATGCTGAGTTTGCTTCGGATACCACTGGATCTCCGCCAATATAAATCGAAGGAACCACGACAAAGTCACGCTCTGACGTAATGTTCTCTGTCGGTGATGCAGTTGACACATTAGATGCCGTAAGTCCTAATTTAGCTGCTGCTTTTCTCCGAAACATTGCAAACTTTGCTGCAATAGAATAATATAAATATGGCTCCTTGTATACATCTGAATCCAGACCTGAACCTGTTAAAGAGCCTCGAATCGATGTCGCTTCCGCCAATAATTGTGCAAAGACATGGTATTGACGAGAAACCCATTCATAGTGCTCATGAGCTCGGTTTGCCACGATAATTGTACGTGCATAAATGCTCATGTGCCGATGAAGTTGGTCGACCGCGCTTTTAATATTGTTCGACGAAAAGATCAAGTGATAGCACAATTTAAAGCTCACAAACTCGGCCATTGTCATCACCTGCGTGTAAGCGATCCCATCAATAGACTCGTCCTCGTTTAATGGTAGTGCAGTAATTGCTCGGTACGATGCTTCATAATGTTGTAACACTTTGGTTGTGTAGCGCCGAAACTCACAGTAATGTGCAATCTTAAAGCTAAGTCTCGCGTGCATTGCCTGATTACCAGGTGTTTTTGCCAAAGCTTTCTTGTATCGCTTCACTCGCTTCGATTGCGACTTGTAGTACTCCAGTGCCATATTTCGTATAGATGACTCTAGCTTCAGCAGCATAGCAGATCCCCGTACAATATCTCGTGATCGTAAGAGGACCAATCCTTTGGTATCTGTATCTAATCGTCTTCTGAAATTAGAAAGTCTTTCCTCTGTTGTATTCATAGGAGCGATCCCAGCATCATCCACTTGTTGCATCAGTATCAGTACCACACGACAATCTCTACCTGCAAGAGATCAAAATTCTTCAGCCAATAAATCTGCTTCATATCAAAATCATTAAGCCCAGTAATTTACTTCTAGCCTACCAGATATCATGCGTTTAAACTTCTCCACCTCTTCACGTAACAATGTCTCTCTCTGTTGCCAATCTTGTGGACTCCAGCGTGGGTCAAACTCATCAAAGAGAAGCACCACAGCTGGTAGCAATTCATGATGTTTTTTCAACCATCGTGCCTTAAGAATTCCTTGTACACGGTAATTATCAAAGTCGCGCTGAGTCTGATTTGGAAACGTTCCGTGTTTCTCACGTAATTCCTTCTTAACAGGAAAGCGATGATCACGTGGCAACGATGCAAAGTGCAGCTTCGGTACAAATTCCTCATTAATCCCGCGTACTAATGGCAGCACTTTATTTTGCAGTTCACGCGATCCTAACGCCGCAATAAGCGGGTACGGCGTCTCCTTGAGCTCCGTCCCGAAGCTCTCCATCGTGGACGAGCTTTTACCTCCCCTTAAAAGTAAGTGAGGGTTACCGACTTTATACCGGTATGAATGGGTTACATTATGGATTACTCTCCGATCTTAATGACGAGATTACGCCGATGTTTCTTGCGGCCCCCAAGGACTTTTGCTGCAAGTATCGCGTCGTTGACAGGACTCAGATCGTTTCAATGGCGAAGTGCATCGAATAAGGCGATAATTGAACGGGAGAAATTAAAAAAAAAGTGTTTAAATGATCCAAGTCTCCGTGTCCGTATTGTACCCATGCTGCTAGATAATTATGGTAGGGTACAAGCATTACAATACTTTCAGTCATTAATTATTTGTTGGTATAGGTTACGTGGTTGTCGATGAAACAAATCAAACCATGTTTACTGTAGATCCAGCGGAATGTAGTACGATCTTGCCAGTACTGAAGGAGGAAGAAACTACACGGAAACGTCAATTTCTCGGGGTTTTGACTACACATAAGCACACGTACGCTCTATGGGTATAGTTGAGATGAATGTCAATAGGCTGATTACGTTTGAGTCTGCATTCGATAGAGATCACGCAGGAGGGAACGAGGAGATTGCGAGAAATTACCCAGGAATCTTAATTGCTGGACCTAAAGATGAACCAATTCCAGCAAGAAATTATTCCGTCAGTGGGGGAGAAAAATTCATGCTTGGAGCCGCGACAGTCAAAGTTTTAAATGTATCGTGTCACACTAAAGCGCATGTGGCGTATGTAGTCACAGGTGACAGTGAAATGCCACCACTTTTATTTCCAGGTGACACCCTTTTTGTTGGAGGGTGTGGACGCTTTTTTGAAGGCTCTGCTGAGGATATGTATCGAGCGTTGTACGAGGTGATTCTCACGTTGCCTAAAGATACGAAAGTATATTGTGGCCACGAGTATACAATGACAAATCTACGCTTTGCACTAAGTGTCGATCCTTCAAATCAGGCACTGCGTGACAAGATTGCAGCTGTTCGGATCCGCCGCGCAAAAAATTTGCCGACTGTCCCATCGTCACTACGGGAAGAAATGTTGTACAATCCATTCTTGCGGGTGCATAATGAAACAATTCGCAACGCTGTCGGTGGCACTGATCCTGTTAGCGTTCTTGAAAATCTTCGTCGACGCAAGGACTCGTTTGAATGAGCTTTTCACTGATTGAGATAAAACATTTACTTTATTAAACGAGCTGTAAATCCTCAATTTATGATCATACAAGATTATGAGTTGTCTTGATTTGTGATATCTGTTCAGGCGTATTTTGTATGAGACCACTTCCATTCTCCGACATTATATTACCCGTGTTCTTTGTTTACCCCACAAACCCACGCGAGACTGGACTCAATAAGTTGCTTAATGGATCTCCACAATTCTCACACTGAGTCACTAAAAAGCTGAAAGACGAATAATTGGTTTGAAAGGAATTATAAAGTAATCATACGATCATTCGCTAAATTTCTATTTCTGCGTTCATTTGCTCTTATCGATGAGAATTTAACGAACTTTTCTTCGCTCAACACTATTGCAGATGCGCAGGCTGCAGTTTTCAGAGCTTTCGTTCTGGATTTTAAGGTGACGTCTGCTTTGATGTCGAATGCAGAAGAAAGAGGCCTGAACCGTGACAAGAAAATTCTTTGTCGCGATCTATGATCACAAGTTAGGGATAAAATCCATAAGGAATTGAAGGGAAAACTTCCAGACATCTTGACTATCGAATTGAACTGGAGCTGGTGCTGTAAGTTGAATCAGGTATCGAACAGATTGTCGGCTTCGAGGCAACGATTGATACACTGGAAATGCTAGGATATCCTCTCGATACAATTGTCAATAGCACGAAAGCACCCTTGTTTACTTCTTAGATTACCTTCATTTGCAGACGTTAAACGTTTCGATCCAATTCTAGAGACACTGGGATTGATCATCACTATTCTGTTTGAGGCCTCTCACACCTCGTACAAATTTGAGTGTTTCGGTCTTTTCTGTGAAGCTGCTGGAATGCGCGCAGCGTATAGTCTTCAGCAGCCGATGTTGTTCCACGCTGACGATCAGCTGCATTTGATCTAGCCCAAGGTCAAACACCACGGCAGTCCATCCTCGTTGTATCGGCATCGTGTCTGCGCCAAAGCAAAGGTTCCGTCAGCATCAAGCTCCAACTGTTGTCTGTAATCATTGTTAAAGGCAGTTCTTTGTACAGAAACACATTGACTTCACTCTTGTGACTGTATCGCCAGTAATTAGGTGGCAAGGTTTGCTGTTCGAAAAAACGAGGCGACATTACAACGTGTCATGAATCATTCAAGAGGTCCACAAGTGGGCACGCTTTCCTGCCAGGGCGTCACAAGTAATGCGAAGGTGTGATTGAGTCCGACGTCTGATAACCCAAGTCTTCAATTCGCACCCGATGACTGTAAGCTTGCAGCGCGTCGACATAGCACACGTAAGCTTGTTATCAAATTTGGCGCGTGACTTGCCAAGATCTTGCTCCTTATTGTCGAAAAAAATGTGTTTCTTATCGCATTCCGTTTTCTGCCAGTACGCTTACAAATTCGATTAATGAAGGCGTCGAAACCACATTTGCACATGCGTTCGCGACGGTTGCGATGCCATGGAGATTGACTAGTATTTTCTCCGACTGTTTACTCATATTGCAGCTCTAGTGATAGGTGCTTACGTCTTCCGTTATGTGGCTAAAATGGTTCAGCATAGTTTTGGTCTAGACGATGCTTAGTTAGCCTGTGAAGTTGTTGTTGTAGATATTGGTTTGGCTCAGAATTTGGGGGAGAACAGTGAGGCATCGGATTTGATGTCAGGTAAAAGGCACAACTGTCGATGGATGGACGTGCTTGAAATGGCGTCACTCAACATATCATCGTGGGTTGCAGCGACGAGACCAAGGGATATCGCGTGTTCATACGCAAGGAATATGTCGTGGACGTGACCCAAACTTCATGAATATTAAGGCACCCTTCGACAGCAAAGCGAACAGTTACGCTATGAAGCAGAAGCCGAGGAAGAGACGTCGTCAATTATCAAGGTCGAGTCGAAAGCAAAAGGCAAGGATACGTGCGCCACAAATCACACGAGGGACTGCCAAGCGAGTGGCACAAGACACTTAACAAGTGAGAAGTGATGTAGTAGCTGTTATGCAAGTTTATGAGACTGGTCCAAAGATGCACGCTGAGGCATTGAGCAGTTCGAAAGCTGAAGGCTGGAGAAAAGCAATGCTCGAGGAGATCCTAGCTCTCAAAAATAACGGCGTCTGGGATGTGATCAAGCAACCGGTTAGGGCCAACATGTTGCACGGTAAGTGGGTATTCAAGACCAAAACGGATGTGAATGTCGTGGTGGAGCGTCTGAAGGCGCGTCTAGTCACGTGCAGAAAATAGTAAATTTCTGGCATTGACTGCGCGCTCACTTTAGCTGCCGCCATGGATAAGAGCGATACCACCAGTGAGCGACTTTCTGTCTCCCTTGCCAGCAGCAAAGTCGACATCACTGTAAGACTCAAGCGTCATTGATCCGTTGCAGTCGGCATTACCGCACATTCCAAGCCGTATCACTTTGCTTTCGCTGAGGTATGGTGCAATCCTTTATGCCAATTTCCAGTCTCGTACGCACGACGCATGTGTCTGTCGCGTGGCTTTGTGAACTATAAAGGCAATGTCTGGCTGCGTGCATCGTGCGATCCATAGCAGACTAACCACCAGCGACTATAACGAAGGAATTCATTCCGACCCAGAGCCGGCGTTTTCCTACAGCAGTACATGACATCTTCGTAGCAGTCGTCACTGACAGGTGTCTACGTAGGGTTTGCCGATGCCATACCGTGCTCACGCAAAACCTCGACAATAACATCTTCCTGATCGAGAGCATGCATGCGCATCGCGTGCCGTCACTTTTATACCGAGAAACTTTGACACTGATCCGAGATCTTGAATAAAGCCATTGAAACGAAGAATCGCTCGACCTCTGCGGTTCTTGTTGCGGTAACTAGGAGATTGTCGACGTAGACGCCAGCCACTGGTAAGTCATTTTTTGTCGCGCTTGAGATACAGGCACATTTCACTAATACACTGCTGTAACCAGCGTATGAGAGTCGTGCGTGTAGCAGCTGACTCCATAATCGTTCAGCCTGCCTCAGTCCATACAGGCTCTTCTTTAGCTCGAGCGCTACTTCGTTTGCATTGGCCGCACTGAATTTCTTTAGTTGTTTATGTCTGATGTCCAAAACACTCGGCACATGAAGCAGGATCTCAAGGTTCTTCTCCTTGTCACCCTTGACGTGGGCGTTCGGAATGTCACCATGTTTTGTCAGCACCCCTCCCCGCGTCGCTGCAAGTCTTTAAGTCACCTTAACTGTCGACAGAGACTCTCTTCGAAAAGTCACTCAACGTTTGAATCATTCCCACTCCCTTGTGGCGAAGCCTTTCCTCGTCTTGACAATTTAAACATTCGAACACCTGCAAATACAGAGAGGCAAAGGAAGTTTTAACGGAGGTCACTCACAAAAGACCCCGCGTGTTTGCCAAGGCAGGGGTTGCGCCAGTAATAACCCCATTATGCTGCCGAATGCTAACAACGGAAGATGTGAGTGAAGATACCCATGAGGGAAGGAGGATACTCACTCACAATAGGTGGTTTGGCCTTCTGAGTAGAAACTATGAGTTCCTATTCTACAACTACTTTATTAGCTTGGGTGTCACCCCTCAAAAATGGACATGCACTCTAGCCAGTGGTGTGGTGGTTCTAATCTCATGAGTGCGAGTTCCAGTTCCAATACGATAGAAGATTATTGAGTCTGGCTTTCGCGCTCACCGAGCCATCCCCGGTAAACCTGGCATGCCTCTTGGCACTTTAAAAAATTTCAACACTTGTATAGAATAAATACAAAATGGTACATTTAACAGTAATGGGTGTGGTGGGAGATGGTGTAACGGGGTACATATCGTACTATTGTATATGATCAAACTCTACTTTTGTGTAAACGTGCAAACCACACTAAGCGCAAATGATAAGTGCAATTCTCAGAGATATCAAAGTTCTGGTATTGGTGAGGACGAAAAGACTTTACAAAGAGAGCTTCATGAGACATCAGCTATTGGCATCGAGTGTATGAATGCATTTTCTTCTTTTATTCAGCTTAAGGTAGCAAATCTAGCTAATACTACTTTGATTTAGCCCAAATCCTACAAGTATAACAATCCTAAACATGAAGAGCAAACCGAATGTTTGGTTACTTGGGATCATCTCGGTTACGCTTTTGGATGGAACACATGAGCTCATACTCTGAAAGATAAATCTCGTTGGCTCTTTGCGATCAAAGCACGGCAAGTCTGTTGCATGATGTTTTGGACGCGATACAACTCGCGCTAAAGCTAATCGTAGACTCGCGATTTGTTTTCAGATTCGCAAAACCTTTTCTGTCTTTTAAATTGACAGTGCTCAGCCAAGATAATCTAATTTTTGCTATGACTACGATAAGGTGGATATTATGGAGTGCTGTCTACTTGCTCCTCACCACAATCGGGGACGGAGAATTTCATAAGTCTCTCATGTGAATCTTTTCCCAAGTACGTGCCTCAAAGTCGTGCATAGCGTTCTAGACTCATATGATTGAAGCATCAATAGCCCTATTCAGGTGACTCTAAGCACTCGCCGAGTTTGTTAGAAAAGGTCATATCAATGTACTTTTATCCTTTAAAGTCTGACACTAACAATGAATACAGGTATCAGTCGACTTCTTGTAATGCACGCACGAACGAGCACTTGTCTGACCGAATTCGACGAATTATAAAAAATACCAAGCGGATGTCAGACTCGTCACGGTTATAGCCAGAGGTAAAAATCATCCAATCCTAGTGATGGTGCATACATGATATTTGAATTGACCAAACCGCAGGTTTATTTGTTAACTAATCTGAGGTCATCCATGTCTCTTGAAAATAAAGAGGTATGGCTTTTATATTGTGCGCGAGGTATGCGAGCTTCAGAAAAATTTTGCGCGGTCAAGCAATAACTTCAGCCGACTGCAGGCATGGATATTGTTTTGTTTTACCCTATTTCCATGTGCCGAATGTGCAGGCATAGAAGCACGTGGAAGCGCCCAAAGCACAAGTAGTATTACAGTATCTGCACCATTTTTACATGAACACGTTCGCAGGCGTCGGAGAGGCCAGCAAAACTATTTTTGCTTTGAACAATAAACAGCACACCAGCAGTACAAAACTTTAACGACGGTAGATGATGACGAAAACTTTTTGTAAAGACCCAAAAATTAATCTATTATAGCGTGTTTAGCAAAGGGTCACAATAGGACACGTAGACCATGAATATTGATAAGTTTACGGAACGTTACTCATGTGGATGACATAGCTCAATACTATATCTTTGACAGCGACGCAAAAAACAAATCATTTTTGTCACTACTTACTTGCTAATAAGGCGTTGAATAAATAAATTCCCTACGAAATTACTGACCTATCACCCTATACGACCGCTTGGGGTTGAGAAACTGAATAAGCTGGTTTTCTGAGACTGCATAGAAATTGATGACTGATGCGCAAAGGCCAAATAAAATGAAAAATTTAAAGTGTTTCTCAAGAGTGTTGTGCGGTGCGTGCGAGCTCAAAGACGAAAGTTACTAAAAATGCAACAAAATGTGATGTACATGGCTGTGGCTGCAAAGATGCAAACTTACTTAATATTACACACGACAAGACGTGTCTTGTCCGAATTAGGCTGGCACCAAGGAATGGTTTAAAAGCCCGTAACGGGGTACGTTGCAGACGTGTACAAATTCTATCATCCTTCGTACTTATATCAAGCTTGAAAGCTCCGTGTTACCATGATGCGGGATCATGATCAAATCGATCAGAGCGGGGCACTCCAAAATAGACTAGCGAAACACGTGATCCGCTTGCGTCACGTGATATACTAATCCTAATCAGGTCATTTTTGTTTGTTACTTAATCAGTATCAATATCAAACCTATTGAGTTATGCTCACCACTGGGTAATTCTGAAGATCAAGTTTTCGCGTCCTAAGGTCGGCGTTTTAGTTTATCCTTTGTGCGCTTTCTGATCGAGTGAATGCTACTTTCTGATAAGGTGCACGCCAATTGGTTGCATTTGGTAGCACTTTGGAAGCTAATTTCATGTAGATTGTACCCCCGCTGTTAGGACATATTATCTTACCTCCGGTAAGTGCAACACACTTAAAAAGTATTATGTCCAGGATGATTAGACTTTAGGGTTAAGACCCGAAATACTGCCCGCCGTAAGGCTTTTACCAGCTACAAATATGCGCTGAAGAGACACACGAAATTTCTTAATCGAACATTGCTACTAATACGGGTGACTCTTTTTGAGCTCTGTGGAGTAAAATACCTTCTGTCGACGGCTATAATTGGGAGAATTACCTTCATCAGACTCGAAGATACTCCTCAAAAGTAAACGTCGAGTCCCAGTAGGCGCAAGGCGACTTCTTGTGACGAAGGAAACATAACGTACATCGCTAAGGCCGAGGCCAACGGAACCCAGCCTTCTAAAGAGCGACTATCTTTATGGCAGGCGAAATTCATAGCCCAGGATCGCTGTTAGCAGCATAACGAGCTTAGTGAATTCATGGAAAGTTAGTGTTCTTGTGAAATTTACGAGTGACGCGCAGATGTAAATTGCGAATTATATTTTAAATTGAGTGGTGGGACGAAAAAAAGCTGCTAGCTAGGCGCCGTCTCCAAGGGTGAAGTTTCATGAAGCCGATACAGAGCGGCTGTGGTCTTTAGAGCAACACCCAGCGCAGACAGGTGGCTGTTACCCGTAAAGTAAGTGAACAAGAATTTCGTGGGGAAATTTATTCTCCTGCTACCTAAAGTAAACCCGCCTGTAGCTCGAATTGGTAGAGGATAAAAGGTAAAAAAAATGCATGCCAGTTGTTACCAGAAGGGGAGCTAGACAAATTCTTTGCCATAGATGAGTCCGCTATCGAGAATTTCGCAGAGCACAGAGTGCAGTTTCATACTCTAGAACCTACAAAATGATTTCTATTTGTTCATTAATGACTAAAAACGATAACAATGGAGTCAGCACGTTTTCTTTCCGTGTAGTGCATCGTCAAATTGACCTGATTCTGAAATGGTATCTATTCGCACGTTGATGACTCTTATAAATGGACATTGACGCCTTCATCCGCGCAAAGAATCAAGCGATCTTGTGAGGAAGTTGATCAAACCACTCAGCCGAATTTAAGCGTAAGAGATGCCGACGCGAGTGGCGCATTCATTGTGTCTGTCACAAACTCTTTGAGCCAAGTAGGTGCATTCTGAACTTGACAAGGGCAAATTCAATGCAAGTGACTTCTCGTCCCTCTTTTGGATCTGCAACGACTCTTATGCGATGACGCGATCATACCTATTGTTTTTTAGTAAACATAGCATATGATTTTAGCTGAAGCGCCACAGACGACTTGATATAGCCCTTTTAGTTTTGGAAGAGCAATAATCGGGGGACGCATCGAGCATTTCTTTACAGCCTTGTAGGCCACCTCATCAGCTGACCAGCACTATCAGCTTCTTTAAGAAGGCATTTGTGTGTTAGGATTGACGCGGAAAGACAGCTACTGTTTGGAAACCCTCTACCATGACTGCCATCGCCTCAGGGCGACAGTCTGACGCCGTTGCCGCGGTGAAACTTCAGCCAGTGGGCAACATCACTGTGTCTTGCATCTCTTGTCGAATGGACACGAATTTGACCGAGCACGATTCGAGGACAACTATCTTTTCTTCCACAGGTGCCGAATTGAAGCGCTCCTGGACGTGCCTAACCGCCGTGTTCTAAACGCTATTGAGCGTTTCCAGAGAAGCGATTACTGACTCGGACCTTTGACAGTCAGTATCCCGACCATTGGAACTTTCAAAAGGCGTAAGCTTTTAAATGGTCGATTTGTACAGGGCAGGAACACAAACATTTTATTTTTTCCCAAAAGATGTAGTCCTCTCAAAGCCAGTCGTGGAATTGACAAAAAGTGCTTCCACGTGAATTGGGGTTGATTGCTGTGCACTTTGCACAGTGGACGCTTTGACTCAACGAGGCCGCAAGCGGTATGTGAAAGATGATGGATTATCGAGATGAAGAGGATCGTGGGTGCGCTTGGGCGATTGCCGCAAGTCAAGTTTAAATTCATATTATATGGACTATGCAGCTCTTAAAATGTCAGAACTAACAAAAAATGCAATTTACACTTCGAGGCTCTCGCTTTGGTACTCGTTTAAATTTGCAATTACACAAAAGTACGATGCGGATTTTGTACAATTGTACAATCGGTTAGTAATTTGAATGAAGCGGATCAACCTTGTTGCAATTGTGGTGAACGGGAGTGCTTGTGAAGCTTGTAGCAGGATCATATTTTGGTAGTTACGACTTACATAGGTAAGAACGTGACGTCACAGAGAAGGTTCGACTGGTTCCATAATGGCCTGGCTAGTCGGAATAATATATGTGCTGGCATGCGTTTTATAACATTACACGACGCTCACGGAACAAATAGCAAATTAGTATCAGCAGCTTCACATATTTTTAGTTTCAACGAAATATAAAGGTACGCATGGTCGATGTGACCTAGTACTATTCTAAAACTTGACAGAACTCTAATATGTTAATCAGATCGGATACAGCTCATCATCGCAACATATTTGAAATTCGATCGATATAGTAAACGTTGGCACCACGACATAATCTGTGTTTCGTGTTATCTCGGCCATGGATTCAAGCGAGCTTGCCACTGAGGTGCTCTCTGCAACGTTTACGTACCAAAGCGAAGCCAATTCTGATCTTTTATCCATTCTCGCACTCTTACTGCCAAGAACCAAGACGACGGCAGCGTCAACCCACTCTCTGCCTCACACGCATTAATTGCTCGATCAAGGCCACTTCAACATCTCGAAAGAGGATCAAAGACTGAAACGTCTGACACTGAAAACAACGCCTACGTCTTCTACCTATCCAACAAATACAAGCGACAAAATGTTTCAACTTTTTGCAAGTCTGAAATTATTTTTTTGGCATACCAGGACCGATCTCGGTGGCTCATTAGGAAAGCATACCGACAATCGTGCCTGTGTCAATGGCAGAGCGAAACGCATTGCCTGTTGTAGAGCATGTTGTCACGATTTCCTTAAGAGAGGACGAGCTGGTGGCGTGGACAAAAGAAGGACCATCTCCTTGCCGCCTTTTAAGCAATTACCGGATCTGATCACTCAGCAGCTAGAATTTGCCTATAGCTACATCAGACCAGAGCGCTCGCACAGCATACATAGACTTCCAGGAAGACCATTAATAGCTATGTGATATGGCCGGGTAAACGAGGATTATAAGTAGCTCCGTGTTCGCGTCTTTGCAATTTTTAAATTTGGTTTCGTCTTTTGAATGTCTTCGTGACAAAGCCCGCACAAAACCTCAGGCGCATCATGTTACGCTATTTTGATATCGTATCCTTTGAAAATTAACACGCTTTTACTTCAAAGAATTGTGGATCCTCGCGTTCAAAGATCTCTCAGCTTACCAGTGCGACAGACCAGATCTCACCATGTCTTCAGTACTGTATTATCATACATTCAACTAATCAGGCAATGCTCAAGGTACAGACACTCGTGAGCTACTGATCAATCAAGAGAAAAACTACATTAGCTTCATGTTACCTTTTACTTATAAGAATAGTAGAGCGATAGAAATATTGTGGCTCTCGTTTGCTTTTGCTTCTTTGGTGTTATCACTGTAAAGAGACGGAAGTGAAAATTGAGGGCGAAGACAAAACTTTGGGATAGACGATCTGCAATTCTAATGCCAGAATGAGAAGTCGGATCATAACGTTATCCTTTGAGCTTTCTAAATCAGGAATTTTATTCTCATCAAGCATGTTCTCAGAGATGCTGTGGCTGTACTTCATGGAAATCAACTTCCGAAATTTTGCTTCGTTTGTAAACTTACAGTGTCGTCACGTCAAGTCCAGCGATATCTCAACGGTATCAACTGATGTCTAAATATTTCATTGTGCTTACTGGCGGAAACTCCATCTTATCTAACGACACCGCAATCTTGAAATGCCAATCGATGTGGGAGCAGCAATCGTTTCAAAAGACTTGATTCTTCTCCGTTTCGAACGAACTTAGACTTTCAATATTCTAAGCACGTTTTAACTTCTCCGGTTTTCGTTTATCGTTTCGTGTTGTTCTGTCAATTTCATTGACTCGCTTTTGTATCTGCAAGTAATTTTGTCACGTCAATATTAGCCATAAATGCATCCACGAATTTCTTGGCGAGATCATCCTCAGCTTGAGAGAGAAACACGCCTGGGATGGATTCAATCTGCTCAGTCGCGTGCGTGTTCTCAGCATTGACTTTATCATGCCTGTCGTTATTCAGCTCCGGAAGGAAACCATAAATATGTTTTTGAGGTTGATACTGCTCAAAGTATGCCGTCACATTCTCTTGACAAAGCTCGAGACTATAAAATCCGTCATTTGGCAAACGGTTAAAGATACCACCCAGCACTTTCACGCCATAACTTTCAAAAAATGATGCGTTTAGATTAAAGGAGTCAATGGCATCGCCCACCCCTTTCTTACCAACAAGCACCACAGGAGCCGCCAATTTTCGAGCTACATCTGCATTCGATACACCGCATATGGATCCCACAGCGGGGTAACCGACTCCATCCACAATCACAAACTTTTTGCCTATGCCCACTTCGTCTACCTTTTGTTTGGCCTTTTCTAACAATTGTGACGATGTCTCTGTCTCCCCTTTAAGAAACTGTCGTGTAAAACCTTTGTAAAAGAGAATAGGTCCCACCTCACAGCATGAAATGCCATGCTGGCGACAGAACTTGGTCACCAGCTGTGGCGTTTCACACTGTGTGGCCGGCTTTATGTATGCAATGTCAACAGCTTGGTAGCCATGTTGCAATAGCGCACCTATTAATCCAAGGCACACCATCGACTTGCCGATTTGAGCTCGGTCCCCACTAATAAACAGCCGCAGCGGTGGCTTTTCCTGTGCAACAGAAGCGAGAGTCGTTGTGGTGTATCGAGCTTCAAACAGGTGCTGCTTCATCCACTGTATCAGCGCCGACTTTCCAAACACAATATATTCCTTTTTGTCAATAGTAATGCGTGCAAAAAGGTCGCTTTGCTGATTTTTGGGATCATTGGAGCGCTTATTCACTTGATTCGGATTCTTCGCAAGCTCACGGGCACACAACACCTCCAACTCTGCAGTACTCGAGCAAATCTCGCTATGTAGCGCCAGACCAGAGCCATAGAGAATGCTAAAACCTCGAAGAAACGACAACACCTCTTGTAACTCGACATCGTCCTGTCGCCCGAAGACAACACAGCTAACGAGGGTGGAGGTAGCGTCCGCCATAATTTAACGTTTTTTTGTCATGAACTTATTGGCGATAAATAAAGACTTGAAAGGTTACAGAGATTTAATAAATTTGATTAGATATTTTGCTCTATACTACGTCGCCAGCATGTCACGTTAAGATCATCTTTTGAAACTTAGTTAAGAACCGGGTGATCTTGGAGTCGAACAACGTGTGCACCACACTTCAATCTGGGTCGCGTGTTCTCGGATTCAAAAAAACTCACCACTGCGCTAATCTTTAGAATGATGAAGAATAAAGCACCATTGTTAATGACATTTGTACATGTCTTGAAAATTATCTAATTCAGAA